GATATTGTCTATCCCTGGAAGGTTAAGAATATCCCTTAAATACACAGGCTTTTCTAAAAACCCACTATTATCTATCACTATATTTAAATCTATCCATCTACCCATCCATCTATCCATCCATCCACCCACCTATCCACCCATCCACTTGTCCATCACCCATCCATCTGTTCATCTATCCATCCATCCACTTATCCACCCATCCATCCCTCCATCATCCATCCACCTACTCATCCATCCACCCACTCACCCACCTACCTCCCCATCCACCTATCCACTCACCCATCCACTTATCCATCCATCCACAAACACATCCACCCATCCATCCACCCATCCACCCATATATCATCTATCCATTGACCCACCTATCCATCCATCCATCATCCATCCATCCATACATCCACCCATCCATTCATCCATCCATCCATCCATCCACCCACCTATCTACCCAACCACTCCTCCTTCATCCATCCATCCATCCACTCACCCACCCACCCATCCACCCATCCATCCATCCACCCACTCACCTATCCACACATCCATCATCCATCATCCACCCACCACCCACCTATCCATCCATCCATCCATTATCCATCCACCCATCCACTCTTCCACACAACCAGCCATCCAATAAACACCTTTAATGAGTATATCCATGGCCAGGCACCTTGCTTAGTTCTGGAGATACAGAAAAAAATTAGACCCCTTCTCTGTGCTCGTTGAGTTCACAGTATACTGGCAAAGACAGCCATATAAACCACAAATCATCATTTTTCTTAAACTTATTTTCAGTCAGTTCTACCTTTTGGGAGTAACAATTTCCACAGATCACAGACTATGGGATTTTAAGGTTAATGATCTTAGGCATTATCTCTTCTGTTTCATTCATTTTACTGATGGGGAAACTGTGGTCATTATTTGTTGTGGAAAATACTACAACTTCCTTTTATTTGCCTCCAAATGACCTCTTCTGGGTTTCAATCTCAGTTTAGTTCAATTAATCTTTATTAAGCATCTATTATGGGCAAGAGCTGCAGATACAGTGCTGGAGAAGACCTCATTCCTGTCCTCAAGAAGGTCACCGTCGAGGGGGGAAAGGATACCCAAAGAGATAACAGATATACCGCTTGATAAAGACAGGGACAGAGGTGAGCACAGGGTGTGAAAATACGTATGAAGGGCCCCTAATCTGGATTTGAGGAGCTCAGGAGAGGCTTCCTAGGAGGAGGACCTGTGAGTCATCTCTTTGAGGGCAAAGAAGATTGTGTTAGATGAAGATGCAGGGAAGGGTATGCCAGGCAGAAGGAAGCATAGCTTGCTGGAGGACCTAGAAGAAGATGGTGTTGGGTGTAAGGAGGGAGGCGGTGAGGGCTGAGTGGAGAGGACGGTGGGGATAAGTGGCAGCAGGCTGATGTGCTGCTGGAGGCCAAAGGCCATCTCTTCCTCCCTGGGTTTGATGAGCATATCCTCGCTCACGTTCCCTGTGCTCCCTGAGCTTTGAAGCCCCACCACGCTCCCTTGCCTTCAGCTTCATACAGGCACACCTCCATTTATTACTCATTGCTTTATTGCGCTTTACAGATACTGCCTTTTTTTTTTTTTTTAATAAATGGAAGGTTTGTGGCAAGCCTGCATCGAGCAAGTCTATCAGTGCCATTTTTCCAACAGTATTTGCTCACTCTGTCTTTGTGTCATATTTTGGTAATTTTTGCAATATTTCAAACTTTTTCATTATCCTATTTGTTATGATCTGTGATCAGTGAATATGACTTGCTGAAAGCTCAGATGATGGTTAGCATTTTTTAGCAATAAAGTATTTTTTTTAAAGATTTTATGTAATCTCTACCCCCAACGTGGGGCTTGAATTTACAACCCCAAGATCAAGAGTTGCATGCTCCTCTGACTGAGCCAGCCAGGTGCCCCGCAATAAGGTGTGTTTTAATTAAGGTAAACATATTGGTTTTTTTAGACATCATGCAATTGCACACTTAACAGACTACACTATAGGGCAAACATAACTTTTATGCGCACTGGGAAACCAAAAAACTTATTTGACTTGCTTTATTCCGATACCGGCTTATTGCAGTGGCCTGGGACCGAGACCACGGCGTCTCTGAGGTGAGCCTGTAGACCAGGCCTAAGGTGTTTGAAGGAAGAGCCCATCCTTCAAGGTGTGGCTCAATACCCACCACTTCCATGAAACCTCTGTTGATTACCTTCTGCCTTCAATGAACTCTATTGCCTGGACCACACTTTGGGATCTCTGTTGTGGTTCTTTATCATCCCATGTGAGTGTAGCTTGCCTCTATGGTGAGACCATAAGCTCCTGAGGGCTGACTATGTGAGTCATATGGTAAAGTTTAGTTTAATAAATATCAATAAGACTGAATCCTATTGATATGGATTTCAGGACAGATGGAAAGTACTGGGGGTTGGACAGACCTGGATTTGATTCCAGCTTTGCCGCTAGTTACCAGTTAGTAACTGTAGGTAAGTTTTCAAACTTGCCTAATGCCTCGGTTTGCTCATCTGTAAAATGGTTGATAGCTCCAACTCGAGGGCTGTTCTGAAGACATGGTTATAGCTGGGGGCTAGGGGAGTTGCTGGGGCTTCCCAACAAGGAGGGTTTGGACATGCAGCGGTGGAGGGACGAGAAGAGCAGGCCAGGATGGAAGACCTGATGTGGTCAGGCCCTGGGGCTGAGCAGCTCCCAGTGTGGTCTGGTGGGATGGCCCACTCATACTGACCTGCATCAAGTCCTCCTCCAAACCCCGTGAGACAGGGACTCTCAGTTTATAGAGTGGGAAGCTGAAGATTAGAAGGGAGTCATCCTGCCTGTGGTCACGTGGCTATGGTGTGGCAGAGGGGGCCCCAGCCTGGGCAGAGGGCGCAGGCCCCACAGCGAGCGGCTCAGAGAGCAGGCTCAGGCTCTGCTCTCCCCACTCCAACAGGGTGGCCACGGGGAGGGCGTGAGCTGCTTCGGTGTCCTAGCCGTCGAGCTCCAGCCCATTTCCAGATGAGTCTGCAGTCCAGCTTCAGCTCTGACCCAGTTTGGCCCTCCCTCCCCATCCAGGCTGTTTCTCACCCCCACCTGTGACAGAGGGCACACTCAGTCCCTGCTTGGATCCAGGTGGCACAGCCTGGAGAGCCAGCGGCAGGAGGCTGGCCCAGAAAGGTCAGCTGAGGCAGGTCACAGCAGTGGGGTGGGCACAGAAATGCCCAGGCCTAGAGTCTGTCCCTGGAAATTGATTTTTTTCACAGCCCAGATGCTGTATCTGGCACTGAGAACCAATACCAACAGCACATTCTGTTACTAACAACATAGTAATGATAATTTATTAGGAAATCATTAAGCCTAAGTATGTGATTCAGAGCCTTGAACCAAACAGGTGCTCTGTTTGGGCGTGGGGGAAGGGAAAGCAAGAAGACAGAGGGGAAGGGGAAGGAGGGCAGGGCATGCTGGAGAGTGGGTGGGCTCTGGAGGGCCTGCATGGCCACGGGACAAAACGGGAGCCCGAAAGCTTGTGCCTTGTAGGGGCAGTGGGGTGCAGGGGATGACCACGTCGCTGGCAATAATAACAACAATCAGGATTGCTGTGTGTAAGTGTAATTGCTCAGGTTTCTGGGGTTGTGGCTTAGATTACAAGTAATATTTAGTTCTTAATCCTCAGGGCCAATAGGGGACTGGAGAGGTGAGCCTGGCATGCATAGGGTCCTCTGGGCCCATTTGTGGGACCCCTGCCCACTTGCTGCTCACCATTCAAGAGAGCTGCTTTAGAGACCCCCTGTGTGTGTGTGCCCACAGGTGCCCGTGGGCGGGTGCGTGACACCTAAGCACACGTGTGCCCCCGTGTGGTGTATCCCTGTGTGTGGAGGGCTCTCCTGTTCTGTCCCCTTCCTATTCAGGGAAGCAGCTGGACAGAGGAAATCATTCCTCCTCTTAAAACCCCAGGTGTGCCTGGCGAATCCCGCAACGACCCCTTCCTCCCTGATCCCCAAGTCTGCTGCGGTTGGAAGTGGAAATGCATTCAGCTCAGGTCCTGCGGCTTCGGAACTCCCTTCGCACACAGTGGGAGCTTAATAAATACTTGATGATGGCCCCGAGCCCGGAAGCCACGGCTGTTCCGAACCCTGACTCCCAGAGCGCGCCGGGCGGAGCAGGTGGGTGGGTGACCCCCAGCCAGACCCTCTGCTGACTCCGCGTCCCGCAGGGGCCGCCCCGCTGGGAAGGCGGTTCTTCGTCACCATCTTTGGAGCAATATTCCCGGGGCTGAGCGTCACGGCGGGAAGGCATCCCGGGAGAGGGTGTAGGAGCCGGGGGTCCCACCCGCCTGGGCTCAAACCCTGGCGCCCTCAATTACCAGCCGGGCACAGCTGCCAAGGGACTTATCTGGGCCTGTGGGATTTTTTTCCTGGGAAAGGAGAATGATGACATCACGGCTGGGAATGACAAAGGGGCGCCCTGCACACACTGCGGCGCTCATCAGTCGGTGCGCTCACGCACCTGGGGTCAGGACGGGGACCCTGAAGTAGCTGCTCGACGTCTCTGAGCATCAGTGCGTGCGCCGGGAACACGAGGCCCGCCTCCCCGGCGCGCGGAGGTCTACCTGAGGAAGACCCCGGCCATGAGTGACCGTGACTCTTGCCGCGGCCCGCCCCCGCGTCAGGGTGCGCGGCTCCCCCCCGGCAGGCCCCGCTCCGCCCCCCTCGGCGCCCCGCGTGCGCGCACGTCCCTGTCGCCGTGGCTCGCGGACGCCCGCTGCACCTGTCGCAGGAGGGAGGGCGGCCCCGCGTGGGAGACTACAGCTCCCAGCGCGCGCTGCGGGGCCTGCGCCCTCTGCCCTCGCGGCGCGGCCGGGGTGGGGGCCGCGGGCGGCTGGCCCCGCCCCCGGGGAGGAGCCTGCGCGGGGGCGGAGCCTGGAGGCGGTGGCGACCTGAGCCGAGCCAATGAGGGCCGCGGCCACTAAGTGGGCTTGGCTTGCCGTGTAGCGCCGGCCGCAGGAGGGGAGCAAAGCTGTTGAGCCGCGAGGAGTGAGGCTGAGCCTGGCCGTGCGCGCTCCCAGAGGGCCAGCTCCTGAGCCGGAGTTCCTTCTCCGCGGCTTCTGGCTCCGGGCCCCTCCTGCCCAGGGCAATGCATCCTTGAGTGGCGGCGTCTGGACCCCAGGCAGCCCCAGAGGACCGAAGCCAAGGAAAGAAGGCTGGGGCCAAGACACGCGCTGGGGGCTTGGATGCCTGGCTTTCTCTGAGGACATCTTTGGAGCGAGGGTGGCTTTGGGGTGGGGGGCTGTGCTGCAGGGAATCCAGCCAGGCCCCAAGATGGACACTTCTGGGCACTTCCATGACTCGGGGGTGGGGGACCTGGATGAAGAGCCCAAGTGTCCCTGTCCATCCTCCGGGGACGAGCCCCAGCCGGCGGCGGCCCCCCAGCAGCGCCCGGGACCCCTGGTGCCGCCTCAGCCCGCACAGCTCCAGCCGCCGCCGCCGCCGCCGCCGCATCCCTTGTCTCTGCTCGCCCAACTCCAGGGCCAGCCTGTCCAGCCGGGCCTGCTGCACTCCTCTCCCACGACGCTCAGGGGCCTCCCTTCGGCCAACTCCACCGCCGTCCTCCACCCTTCCTCCAGGCAGGGCAGCCAGCTCAATCTCAATGACCACTTGCTTGGCCACTCTCCAAGCTCCGCAGCCACAAGTGGGCCTGGCGGAGGCGGCCGGCACCGGCGGGACAGCAACCCGTTCACGGAGATCGCCATGAGCTCCTGCAAGTACAGTGGTGGGGTCATGAAGCCCCTCAGCCGGCTCAGCGCCTCCCGGAGGAACCTCATCGAGGCCGAGCCCGAAGGCCAGCCCCTCCAGCTCTTCAGCCCCAGCAACCCCCCAGAGATCATCATCTCCTCCCGGGAGGACAACCATGCCCACCAGACCCTGCTCCACCACCCCAACGCCACCCACAACCACCAGCATGCCAGCACCACTCCCAGCAGCACCACCTTCCCCAAAGCCAACAAGCGGAAAAACCAGAACATTGGCTATAAGCTGGGACACAGGAGGGCCCTGTTTGAAAAGAGGAAGCGGCTCAGTGACTATGCTCTGATTTTTGGGATGTTTGGAATTGTTGTTATGGTGATAGAGACCGAGCTCTCTTGGGGTTTGTACTCAAAGGTAGGGGCTGCGGTTTCTCTTTATACCTTGAACAAAAGGAATATGTAGGTAGCAACAGAGAGAGAGGAGAGAGAGAGAGAGATTGATGGAGGGGAGAGGCGGTGGTTGGAGAGGCGTTTGCTCAATTATATGGAGCACTCTAACTTCCCATGGTTTTCTTTCTGAACCCCGGGAGAATTCATTGCTTGCTTTCTTGGGGGGCGGGGGCGTCCCCGTACACTGTATGTTGCAATGCTGTGTTTGGGAGGAGGAACGGTTCCCTTCCGAGACAGCGTTTTCCTCCTGGTTCACTCGCACCAAAGCGGAGCCCAGCGGCTTAACGCACCAATTAATTACACTCTGCCTTGATTTGCCTGCCAGTTCCTGCGACTTGCCTCCTCTGCTCCCCGCCCTGCTCCACTCCATCTTCCCAAGGATGGAAGAGAAATAAATGTCTGGGTGGGGGGTGGGGACGCCATCCTATCCCTTCTCCCTCTGGCTTCTCCCTCTCTTCCCAAGTTTCTGTTTTCCTCCTCGTCCCTGACAGACTTCGGGCAAAATAGCAGAGCACCGGTGACCCGAGTCCCTTGGGGGCGCGGGTGAAAACGGGCGGAGGGACCCCGCGGTCCTTTCCCTCAGGAAGGAGCGCTCAGCATAAAGCTGCCGTCTGTAAACAGCCGCTGACAAAACCGGCTACAGGTGTCCCCAGCAGAGCAGGTGGGCGCCGCCTTGGCCTTAGCCCCCGGGAGCGGGGAGCGAGCGCCTCTCCTTCAGATGGGATGATAGGGCTTCCCCGCCGGCCGAGAGCCCGCACCCGGGGCCCGCCTCTCGGGATCAGTGAGGTGCAGTGCGTGCACACCCGGCCGGGGCTGGCGGCTTGGCTTCAGCCTCGGCTTGGAAATCGCGGCCTCCAGGGGCGTGGGGATGGAGGCAGGTGGGTTTCCGCCAGTGCTCTGCCTGCTGGGGGCCCTCGCGCTGCGGGCCAGAGGGCTGCAGGCCCCGGGCACTCAGTGTACAAGTGGATTTCTTCCCCCTACCCCCCTCACCCCCAATTGGTTGTGGGGGGAGGGTGTGTGTGAGTGCGTGTGTGCGTGCTTGCTTGTCCCTTGGATTTCTCTTATTTGTCATTTTGGGCAGGGGGTGGCTGGGAGGGGTTCAGCTGTTGCAGGTTTCAAATAGAGCTTGTTTCAGGCTAGGCACAGCTGCTGTGGGACTGCCACATTCCTTGCTGAAATGCAGCCGCAAAAACCTAGGAGGTGCTGATCGGATTTCCCTCATTCCCAGCCTCCCTCTCCCGCAGGCACGGGCAGACCTGTCAGCCACCTGAGCAGCCAGCCCCAAGACTTCCTTGCACGCGGAGGGCCCCCCAGGGACCTGCTGCTCAGAGGGGGCGGCCCCAGCAGAGGGCAGCCCCTGGAAGCTGCCTGCATCAGAATAGTGCCAGGATTTGAGCCCCTCAGAGGGCAGAAGTGAGCAGGGTTTCCCCGGGAATAGCAGCTCACTTAGTCATCCCTGGAGCGAGCCTCTGAGCCTGCTGTGGCTCTCTCGGGGCCGCCACCCTCGGCGCGGCCCTGGCTCCCCCCAGCCCCCCGTGGGGACCAGGAGCCCTCGCCGGGGGAGACTGATGAAGGCCCAGGTGCTCAGGGGTGAGGGCAAGGGGCAAGACCAGCACCCCAGCGACCCCCGTGGTCAGAGCTCTTAAGGGAATGGCTCCTTCTGGGGATGCTCCCGGCATGGGGCACCTTGGTCTTAGTGCCATGGGAGCGTTGCTGCTGGCAGGAAAGGATCTGGGGCAGGTGCCACCCTGAAGGAGTATTCAGGGAAAGGGCCTTACCCGGAGCCAGGGAAAACAGACTCGGGTGTGAAGGAAGGGGAGGCAGGTCCACTGCGCTGGGCCTCAGCCGGTTCTAAGCTGCTGACCCTCATGGCAGTGTGAGGGGCCCTGAGCAGCAAGGTCCTGCTTGCCCCAGCTGGTGAGGTGGCCACCTGTGTGCCCCCGGGGCCAGTGTGGGTGGTGGTCAGCAGGGCTCATGGTAACCTGCTCCCCAGCCTCTCCATCTGCCCCTCTGTGCATTGAGTCATTCTGGGACAAGCAATTTTGGGGTGTCTCCTGGGTCAGGCCCTGTGGACCCAGGATGGGTAAGGCAGCTATCCCTCGCCGGCCCCGGTCACAAACAGGATCATTGTAAAGAATCAGAGTGAAGTTTGAATCCCAGCCCTGCCGCTTCCAGAGCTGTGATCTTGGACCAGCTGTGTGTCTTCTGCGAGCCCATCTCCCCAGCTGTCAACGGGGAGGGCGAATCTGATAAGTGTGAGGCTCCAACACGGGGCCTACTGTCACTGTTATTAATAGTGGTGATGAGAGCAGAGGCGTCTTTTCCCCCCAACTCTGGCTCCAGAATCAGCTGGGCCCTCGGCAGGTCGGAGCTAACGCTTGTCAATGGCGTGAGAAGTTGCGTCCTGTCGGGGAGAAGTTCTGAGAAGGGGCTGGGTCTTCTGCCTGGAAACGGCCTCTACTCATGGCTCTGTTTTAGGGGAGGGTACATCTGTCCCCAGCCTGTCTGCCACGGGCTCTACCGTGGCGAGAGCGTTTGGGCTAGGAGCGAGGGCGGCGTGGCCGTCCGGCAGGCCCTGGGCCGGGCCGGGCCGGGCAGTAGTGTCTTTAGCTGGAGAACTCCGTGTGTCTGGTTGGCTTTGCTGACCAGTGTGGAGGTCGCCCGGGCCGACTGGGGAGCTCTGCACTGAGGGTGGCCCTTCCCACTCAGAGGCCCTTGGGAGGGGGCCACACGTCCTCCCCAAGCGATGGGAGGCCGCGAGCCTGCGCCGGAGCTGCCGCTTTCCGGGAGCTGTTTCCTTCCTCGGGGCTGCGGACTCCCATCTGTGTCTCTGGCTGATGTCTGTTGCTGGGGAGGAATTTGCCACGTGGGCCTGGCTCCCTTGAGAAGGAACGTGGCCTGCCCTGAGCTCATTCAGAGTTAATGCAGAAGGGGGCCCGGGCGAGGAGATAAGCGGTCCTCGGTCCCCTCCTCACGAGCCACAGGTGACGGCGGGGGAGGGAGATGGGCCGACGCCGGGCCCAGGAACAGGAGGGCCCGGGCCGGGAGGCCGACTGGCAGCGAGGGGCCAGAGATGGCCCTCGTGGACGCTGACGGGTGCAGGGCTGCCCCCCGAACTGGGCAGGGAGTCCAGGTTTAAGAAAAACAGGTGGATTTACCCCAAGGGCTTAGACACCGTGACAGGGCCAGGCCCAGGGATCCTGCTGGGAACTCTGAGGGACTTGGTCTCTGCCGCGTCCGCGCCAGTCAGGATTCAGGCGGCGCGTCTGCAGGGAGTCCTTCTGGGCGTTCGTGCCGTGGTCTTCCTGAGCTGGCTGGAGGCCTTGGACCGCCTGCTGGGCTCTGTCCACTGGGTGGAGGGAGAACCGGGGCCCGCCCCTCTCCTCCCCGAGCTGCGGACTCCCCAGCCCCAGCCTGCCACCTCGCTGTGGCTCGGCCGGCACCTCTGTCCAGCTGACAAGTCCTCGTGGGCCTGTTTCCCAGGGACCTGTGGGGTCAGGCTGCGGGGCCGCCGCAGTGTCCAGTGTCCATTTCCCGGCCTCCCACGGGGAGGCCAGGAAATGCTGGTACGGCGAGGCCGCTCTCCGTGTCCCCTGTTAGTGCCCAACCTCCAGCTACCCCCGGGCTCACCATCCAGCTGGGTCTCACCTCCTGAGCAGAGCGGACCCCTGCCGTTCCACAGCTTCCCCTGCAGTGGGGTGCTTCCCACCACCCCCCTGCCTGGCCCTGCTGCCAGGCTCACCCAGGCCGTGGGCGGGGGTCAGGGGATGGTGCTCCCCTGGCTGCCCTGCCTGACCCCCACGCCTGGCTCCCTCTGTTCCTTCACAACACCTTGAGGGAGGACCCCTGGAAAGGGCAGGCCCTTCTGCGTGCCCAGGGCAGCTTGGTCTCCTGGCCATTTAACCCTTCAAAGAAAATGGGGTCCCTTAGGGCCGACGTGTTGTGTGTCTTTGCTGACCTCACAGAGGTCCAGGAGTCCACCCTCAGCCTCCAGCCTGAACGACTGAGTAGGTTAGCGGGTCCCAGGTCTCTGAGCCCCTGCCTTCCCTGGCCATGGAGGGCTTGTGTGCAGAAGGGCAGGGCAGCGGGCGGGCTTGGCTGGGAGAACGGCCCGCACCTCCTGCCAGACCCGGGAGCCCCTCTGGGGTAGGTGGGCGGCTGTCAGGGGCATCCTGACCTTTGGGAGGAGATGCCTCTGTGGTCTCAGGAGTGTTGGCATCGCTGAATGGGACAGACCCCTCCAAGGACCCTCCCTGTGTGGCGGCCTGCAGGACAGGGTTGCAGGAGGTAGGAGGGTCTGAGCCCAGGCATAGGTTTTACTCTGGGGTCATGCTGAGCGTCTTGGCCCAGGGAGGGCAAGAGCAGCTCTGTGGACATGCTCCCACCCAGGGTGGTGGCGACCCTATTTACAACGCTTGTGGCCAGCCCACAAATGAGTCAAACGTTTGTAACCGCAGCAGGGACAGCTCAGCAGTGCATGCCTGTCCCTGGCGCATCATCACGCTGTTTATAGCTGTCCGGGGCAGAATTCGGGGTGCTTGTGACACCCCTTCCTCCCGGCAGCGTCCCCTGCGGCGGGCACAGCGCTGTTGCTGGGCTTGCATCCGCTGCATGGGCTAACTGGGAAGCTGGGGGCCGCCTCGCATGGCCCTTCCCCAGCTTTCAGGGAGGGACACCGGCCAGTCCAGGGTCCAAAGATCTGCTCTGAAAAACAGAAGGTAAAGAAACATAAAATGAAAAGAAACTGGAGTCACCTCCGTGGAGGGGCGGCGGCCTGGCTGGAGGGGCGGAATCCGCACAGAGTGCGGGTTTGTGGGGGCTATTCGTCCAGCACATTTTGGGGGGAGAATGTGTGTGACAGAGCGCGGCTGTGAGGGGCGACTCAATGCAACACCGCCTTACTCAGCTCAGTGGCTGCAGACCCGGTTTTCTTTTCTTTCAAAACCCAGAGGGAGAGAGAGAGAA